GAGAGAGAAGAGGAGAAAGAGACAGAGAAGGGGGGGAAGCAGAGAAGTGGGGAGAGAGACAGAAGCGAAACTGCCTCTCGAGAGGAAGATGGAAAAGAGAGAACTCAGGCTGGAAGCTGAAGATCAGCCTGCCTCAGCAGATGGGGGAGGGAGTGGGCGTGGCTTGTCTCTTAAAGGGACCAATACCATAACATTCCCAGTCTTCCTTATAATAAAAAGCAGATTAGGGGCTGGAGAGATGGCTCAGAGGTTAAGAGCATTGCCTCCTCTTGCAAAGGTCCCAAGTTCAATTCCCAGCAACCACATGGTGGCTCACAACTATCTGTAATGAGGTCTGGTGTCCTCTTCTGGCCTGCAGGCATACACACAGACAGAATATTGTATACATAATAAATAAATAAATAAATAAATAAATAAATAAATAAATAAATAAATAAAGCAGATTAGATCTCTTAAAAGGACCAAAACCATAACAGAAGCAACTTGGGGAAGAAAGGGTTTATTTCATCTTAAAATATGCGCGTTACAATCCATCGATAAATGAAATCAGGACAGGAAACCAAGGCAGGAACCTGGAGGCAGGAACTGAAGCAGAAGCTACCGGACTGATCCTCGTGGCTTGCTCAAACTGCTTTCTTAAACAATTCAGAACCACAGGACTAGGGCAGCACCATTCAAGGTGATCTTGAGCCTTCTACATCAATTTTTGTTTTGTTTTGTTTTTTGAGACAGGGTTTTTCTGTGTAGTTTTGGAGCCAGTCATGGAACTCACTCTGTAGACCAGGCTAGCCTCAAACTCACAGAGATCTGTTGCCTCTGTCTCCTGAGTGCTGGGATTAAAGGCATGCACCACCACCACCTGGCTACATCAATTAATCAAGAAAACACCCCACAGCCGGGCGATGGTGGCGCACGCCTTAAATCCCAGCACTCGGGAGGCAGAGGCAGGCGGATCTCTGTGAGTTCGAGACCAGCCTGGTCTACAGAGCTAGTGCCAGGACAGGATCCAAAGCCACAGAGAAACCCTGTCTCGAAAAACAAAACAAAAAACAAACAAAAGAAAAAGAAAACACCCCACAGTCTTGCCCACAGGCCAATTTGGTAGCCTTTTCTCAATTGAGGTTCACTCTTCTCAAAAGTCTCTTGCTTTTATGAAATTGACCAAACCCCCCCCCAAAAAAAAAATCTAACCGGGGCAGCTCCTGGCAATCATCACCGTTATGGGTTGGCGTTGTAAATTACCAGGGCTTTGAGGAGGGGGACTTGGAGGGTTCATTCAGTGGTAGAAGTGGCAGAATTCCCTTTTAAAATGCCCAAGGTTTAACCTGGTGTGGTGGCACACACCTTTAATCCCAGTGCCTGGGAGACAGTCCTTGAGTTCAAGGCCAGCCTGTGGGCCGAAGCCAGCCAGGCCACCCGAGCACTCTGGGAAGCACAAAGACAACACCGCTACCCCGAGCCCAGCTGGGCACTCTCTGAGAAGTGAGTAGTTGTGGAGCGATGGGAGAGAGAGAAGCAAGTGTGTGGTGGAGAAGCGAGCACTTTGTGCTCTATGAAGTGGGGCAAAGTTAGAGACTCAAAGGTGGTTGCTGTTCTTGCTCCTTGGGAAGGGTGAACGACACTGCCCACCAGTTGAGCCGGTAACCTACACAAGTTCAAGTGGGCCCAGGTCTTCTTCCTTTGAGAAAACTGACCACTGTACAAATGGCTGTGATTCCCGGAGCTGCGTCCTAGCAGAAGAGCAGAACCCGCAGAATGGAGACCTGCCACTGGCTGGACATGTCCTGTTGTATTTCTGTCTCATCGCTGGCCTATCTGCTAATCTCTCTAGCTGGTTGTGGTAGCAGTTCAACTGTGAGACTGGACAGGTCTGTGTTGAACTACAGTTTTACCGTCCTAGAGACCCCGCCCACAGCCCAAGCCACTGTGACATGCAAGTGTGGGGCAGAGAGATGGGAAAGAGAAGAACGGTTTGAGTACTATGAAGAGAGGTGGATCTGAAGACGTGAAGGTGGAGAGAAACAGCCTGAGGTGAGTAGCCTGCAAAATCATCGGAGACCACGGTGAGTCCCGGTTCATGCTGCCACTGAGGGCCATGGTCACAGCCATGCAGCAGCAGGGGTCTGTGTCGATGTCCACGGCCCATATCACCACCATGTGTATGTCCCTGGTCTGGACTGCCACCTGGGACCATGTTAATATCCAAAAGCTGCACAGAGTTGGCCTTGCCCCTCACTGGCAGCAGCACCAGGGAGAGTGGGTCCTGTACCTCGCCTGGGCAGCACAGCAGAGCTGACCCTGTTGTCTAGAGCGGGCACAGATGAACCGGCCCAGAGGGGGTGAGAGGGGAGAGCTGGCCCCATGGTCACCTCATCTGTCATGTGGTAGCATGGGAGAAGGAGAGATGCCTTTCACCCCTCCCTCCGCCCTGCAGCATGGGAGCAGGAAAGCTGGCTTTTCCCTCATCAACTGCAGCGCTCAGGAGGGAGGGTGGCCCCTTCAGTTCGCCTGGGCAGCACGGTAGAGCTGGCCCTGGTGGTATGGGTGTGGGTGAGCTAGCTGAGGCAGTGCTGGAGAGGGTGACGTGGTGGTGAGGATGAGGGAGAGCTGGCCATCTGCCACCCAGGCCCAGGCCCAGGCCCAGGCCCAGGGCTGTGAGTTGGCCCACCCCAACATCCACCCCTTCTGTGAACAGCTAGAGCATGTGAAGAAGTTAGTCCTGCAGATTCGAAGCTGCAGGGTCTCCATGATATAGGGTAACAACAGGATCTCCAAGAGGAGTCTCAGTGAGGGCCCAGTACTAATAGTGTAGCAGAAGTCAGAGGCCATAAACTAGACCGGTGACTCACTGCAGTGAAGACTTGCAAGCAAAGATGGATGAACTAAAGGGCACACTGTGTGACTCACTGTGACACACTATAGCTCCCATGACGAGTTGTTTTTTTTTTCTTTTAAATTTTATTTTATTGGGGGTGGGGAGGTTACAAGGGCAGGAGGTGTAGATACGGAAGGGATGGGGAAATGAATGGGAACTGAGTGTGTGATGTGAAATTCACAACGAATCAATAAAAAGTTAAAAAATAATAATAGTAAATCTTAGCTGAGAAGTGGTGGCACACGCCTTTAATCCCAGCACTCGGGAGGCAGAGGCAGGTGGATCTCCGTGAGTTCGAGGCCAGCCTGGTCTACATATCTAGTTCCAGAATAGCCAGAGTTACTCAAAGAAACCTTGTCTAGAAAAGAAAAGAAAAAAAACCTTATTAGCTGGGTGTGGTGATGCATTGCCTTTATTTGCAGCACTCAGGAGGCAGAGGCACCACAGATTTCTCAGTTCAAGGCCAGCCTACACAGAAAAACCCTGTCTCAAAAAACCAACCAAGGGGCTGGAGAGATGGCTCAGTGGTTAAGAGCAGTGACTGCTCTTCTGAAGGTCCTAAGTAATTCCCAGCAACCCACATGGTGGGTCACAACCATCTGTAATGAGACCTGGCGCCCTCTTCTGGCCTGCAGGCATGGAGGCTGAACACTGTGTATATAATAAATAAATAAATATTTTTAAAAAAATCAAAAAAATTTTAAAAAACATGTCCTGAGCTGAGGATATAGCTCAGTGGTAGAGTGCTTGCCTAACAAGTATAAGATTTGGAATTCTTTCTTAGGATCACTGAAAAATTAAATAAGATATTTTAATACTAGTATGTATGTTCATGAAGACATGAAAGGAGGAAGAAGAGGAGGAGGAGAAAGGAGAAGGAAGAAGAGGAGATGGGAGACTGGGAGGAGGAGTGGAAGAAGGATGATAATTTACCCATACATAGGAACTTGTTAGTAAAGCTGTAGCGTGTCAAATGCAAAGATAAATCTTAAAATTTCTCACATTGTAGCCGGTCGGTGGTGGCTCACGCCATCAATCCCAGCTCTCGGGAGGCAGAGGCAGGAGGATCTCTGTGAGTTCAAGGCCAGCCTGGTCTACAAGAGTTAGTTCCAGGACAGGCACCAAAACCACAGAGAGACAAACAAGCAAAAATTCTCATATTGTAAATTGAGCTCTTTCCCTGTTGCCTGTCTCAAAAGAAAGAACCCTGGTCAGAGGCAGAGCCCCAGTTCTGGGTATACATTGATACCTGATTCCGAAAACAAGCTGAGTACTAGGGGCTGCAGAGATGGCCCAGCAGCTAAGAGCACTGTCTGGTCTTCCAAAGGACACATGTTCAATTCTCAGTACCCACACTGAGACTCACACTTGTCTGTAACTCCAGTTCCAGGGCTTGCTTGGGACATCCTTACACAGAAACATCACTGAACATAAAATAAACTATATATTAAAAAAAACACACACACTATAAACAGAGTGCTGACCGTGGACTTACTGAGCCACTAATCCTGGTCGCAGACTAAGTGTGGACAAAACCTTACCTAGTAAATGTTTGACTATAGACACAATTGAGCCGTTGTCCTGGGCCATGGGCCGACCTTGAGACTCAAGATGACTCCTGAGTCTCAAGGTAAGTCATGAAGTCTGGTTGCTACTGATCACACTGGAGCTTCTGGGACTAGCTTGGTTTTGGGAGACATAGATATCCGCAAAGCTGGCTGCTGACAGGTAGGAGTGGAATGCATTGGCTTGGTAAGGGAGCAAAGCCCATGGCACCTTCTCAGAGGACCACTTCCCTCCTCAGAGAGAAGCACCAACCCGGTCCAAGGGACCCGGTTGCCATCTCCTGGCGACTTCGAGCACTGCGCTCCGAGCCCAGAGGCGGCCGCTCCACTCGTCCGCCCACTTTCTGGAAGTCAAGTGGAGGCTCTCGACACGGAGACGTCTCTGAGGCATCAGACCCAGGCACAAAGTTGCTTCTCTTCGTCAGGGCGGCCGCCCGCCAGCTCCTCTTCGCTGCATCTCTGTGGGCGGCGCGGTTCGGGGGCCCTCGCCGGGGTAGGCAGGACAGAGCGTAGTCGCCGGACCAGGAGGGAGCGGGCGGCGGAGGCGAGCACCAGGAGAGGCGGCAAGGAGAGGAATCCGAACACGATGAGCGCTGCAGAGCCGCGATCGGAGAGCAGCGCTCGGCACCGTGGACCCGGGGCTGGATGAACCTGCGGACAGTGGAGGCGTGGGGTCGGACCGGGATGCATCAGGGTGGTGTAGTCGTGAGGAAGGACCAGGTTCCGAGGTCTGGAGGGGAGGACCAAGGGGAGCCTAGAGATTGCAGCAGAGTCCAGAGAGACAAGGGACGGGGCCTGGAGAGCGAAGTGGGGCTTGGAGGACAGAAATTGCCAGAATACAACAAAGAGAGTTGGCCTGAGTTGTGGTTGCTGGGAGCCAAGCAGTGTTGAAGTCTTTTTGGGGGGAGATCTGGAACCCAGACTATAAATGGCCCAGGTAGGACTGAAGGAAAGGTTCCAAGAACTTCCCTGGCTCTCCCAACCCAGCTTTTCTGTCCCCATCAGTGCTCTTTCCCACGGCCCTTAGCCCCAGCTGCCTCTTCACCAGCTAGCGTCATTTCTCTCCCACACAGGAAGCCACAGAAAGGAATATAAGGGCCATAGCCCTCTCCACAGGTGGGGAAGCCCAGACCAGGTCAAGAGGGTTTGGGGAAGAGTGGAGAGGCACTGAGTATAGGTGAAATTTGACAATTTTTTTTCCTATCTCCACTTCTACCTCACAGACCAGGCCCTGGTGCCTACTGGTACAAAGCTAAGAAGCCTGGGACAGGCAAGACAGCTGTTCCTGAGTAACAAACAAAAGCTTTTCTTTGTTTGCAGCTGGTAGGGGTGTTGGCAGAAGAGGAGGTTACAGAAGAGGACACATACATCTCTGCATACAAAGAGGCAGGGCTGGAAGGGGGTCGATTTATCTTCGACCCCAGGGACTTGAACCTCTACAGGACTCCCACCCCCCAGGGACTAGCCAATGCTCACCCTTGAGTGGCACAGGAATCCCAGGTAGACAATGGCAGCAGCTGGCAGCAACACCAGCAGGAAGACTGTCCCGGGTAGCAGCAGATGACACAGGAACCCAACCAGAGCCCGGCCAGGCAGCAGCAGGGTCCTGAGGCCTTCGGTGGTCAGGATGGGCCACCCCGGGCATACCAGGACTGGGATATGGTAGTCAGTAGGCCTTCTTCGGGGCAGCATGGGCGCTGTGTCTGAAGTACCTCCTTCATCCTCTTCTGTCTCCCTCTCCTGCTGCTCACTCATGTCTGGCAGTGGACCTTGAAGGATGCTTTCCCTAAGATCACAGCAGCAGGCTGCAGGACTAGCTCCCACCACCAAGCCCAGACTAGTGATCCTCCCCCCCCCCCCCCCCCCCCCCCCCCCCCCCCCCCCCCCCCCCCCCCCCCCCCGGTTCAGTTCACATCTAGATTCTAGACACCAGACAGTGGACTGCTGTCCTGTTTAGTCTACCACCGGATATCTGTCTCCAGGGCTACACCCCTGTCACAGTTTCCCCCACTACCTTGTTGGGCCTCTTTGCCAGGCAAATGAAGGCAGCTCCTGAGTGCTCTGGTTAGGTCTTACACAGCTATCCCTATCTGAGCACTATGGCCCTCCTTCCTCACAGCCCGCCTCCCCAGCTTCCAGTTCTCCCAAACAATGGCCCCATTTCACAGATCCTGGCTATGACAAATGTCCTTTAATAGCTGCCATCTAGGGACAAACCGCTAGCTCATTTCCTAGCCCCAGTCCCCGTAATTCCCCTTTTCTAACAAGTAGACCCCTCTTTGTTGTCAGTATAAGATGAAAACACCATAGGGTTGGAGAGAGGACTCGGTACTTAAGAACACTGGCTGCTCTTCCAGAAGACCTGGGTTCAATTCTCAGCACCCACATGGCAGCTCACAGCTGTCTGTAGCTCCAGTTCCAGGGCATCCAGCCTCACACAGACATACATACAGGCAAAACAGCAATGCACATAAAATAAAAACAAACAAATCATTAAAAAAAAAAAGGTGAAGCCACCAGGTGACTCCATGCTGTGGAGTGGTTCAGAGGTTAGTGCTTACTGTAGTACCTGGAGATAGCTGTTACCTGATGAGCAGCCACTCAGTTACTCTGCAGTGAATCCAGTCCATCGTGGGAGCATGCAACAGGCTTTTCAGATGGTGAGAACATGTAATCCACCGAAAGCTCCAGCCACTAACCCCCAATATTGCTAAGATGCCTTCACACTGGAAGTACACAGTGGACAACATTTAAGCCCTATTTACGTAAGCTATTGACCCTTCATGAGCTGATGTTTCCCCTTCTGTGCCATTTCTCCCAGTGGACTTTGTCACTTCCAACTTTCCTTGGACTATCTTCCGATCCTGGACAGCTTTCCAGGTGGCGTTTGATATGCTCCACGAAAGGCAGCTTGCTTTCCCTGGCATGCCTGGCACAGCCAGATGTGACCGTGGCTGTTTGTGTACTTGGGTAGTGAATCTGGAGTAAAGAATATTGTAAGGTGCCGATAGCTCAGAGGTTCAGGACGCATATTGTCCTTGTAGAACGACCTACGTTCGGTGCCCAGTGCCTACTTCAGGCAGCTCACAACTATTCGTAACTCCAGCTCCGTGAGGCTCTGATGTCTCTGATTTCCTGCCCACATATTCATATATCTATACACACACTTGCACACACATACACACCACAAGAATACAACTAAAATAAGAAAAATAAAAGTATTTTTAAACAGTGTTGCAGGGGCTGGAGAGTTGGCTCATTGGTTAAGTGCACTTGCTGCTCTTGTAGAGGACCCAGGTTCCATTCTCAACGGTCCACATGTTCGCTCATAAGCTTCTGTAACTACAGTTCCAGAGGGTCTGGTGCCCTCTTCTGACTTCCATAGGCACCAGGCATGCATGTACTACACATATATACGTTCCAGCAAAATGTTCATACTCATAAAGTAAAACACATCCAAAAAATCTTAAGTGTTGTAAATTATCTCCTTACTGTGCCCACACTCTTGTAATTAAAAAAATATATATATTTGGGGCTGGAGAGATGGCTCAGTGGTTAAGAGCACTGCCTGCTCTTTCAAAGGTCCTAAGTTCAATTCCCAGCAATCACATGGTGTCTCACAACCATCTGTAATGAGGTCTAGTGCCCTCTTCTGGCCTGCAGACATACACGCAGACAGAATATTGTATACATAATAAATAAATAAATATTAAAAAAATAAATACATAAAATATATTTGTTAAAAAAAATTTAACAAATATATTTGTTTGCCGGGCAGTGGTGGCACACGCCTTTAATCTCAGCACTCAGTA